ACCTTCAAGAGGAAAGAGAGGGGGAGAGGGAAGAGAAAGGAAGGGGTAGAGGAAGGGAGATAAAGAATGAATTGATAGAACCATATTCCCTCTGAGGGTTCCAATGAGAGTCTATCCCTTACCTCTGGCTAGCATCTGGGGCCATTGGCACTCTAACTTCGGACCACACGTTGCTAATTTCTGTTATCTGTGGTCACACTGGAGCCCCGTAATAACATTTCGGGACCACTCCACTAACCCAGGATCACCCATCTGCCGGGCTAAGATTGATAGATGAATCAAATCTTGAAAGACCCCTTGACCTCATGCATAGGCTCCAGGGATGAGGCCGTGGACCTGTCATCTTTAGGAGTGTGCCGTTGGCAGCCGACCACACCGTCAACTTGGAAGAAATGCAAATTGAAGCAATAGAGAATAGCATTTTCTCACCTATCAGATTGGCACAGGTAAAAAGGAAGGGTGACACCCAGGCTTGGCCCTGTGCATAGAAGCACCCAGGGCATGCCCTGGTAAGCTTTCCGAAAGGAGATTTGGCAATACCTTGGAAAATCTTTAAAAGTGCAAATGCTTTGACTCACCCTTGTACTTCTAGGATTCTGTGCTAAGGAAATAACCTGGAAGAGCGTGTTCACCACAGTGAAAAGCTAGAGACAATCTTGATGCTCTCTCACAAGGAATGTCACATCCAACCAATTCATCCAGCAGACGCTCTGACCTCGTGGAATTGTGTTTGTTAGTGTTCAAAGAGATGTATAGCACAGGGAAAGTAATAAATTTAAAAAGTATGTGTACGCCAGGCATGAGGGCACGTGTGTGTAATCCCAGCTCCAGGCAAAGAGACAGGAGAGTCATAAATTCAAAGCCAGAGGTTAGCTTGGGCTATGTAGTAAGTTGAAGGCCAGCCTGGGCTATGTCTTGTGAGAACTTGTCTCAAAAAATAAATAGGAACTTAAGGGATGGCTCAACACTTAAGAGTTTTATAGAGGACCCAAGTTTGGTTCCCGACACCCATAAGAGGCAACACAACCTCCTGTAACTGAGTTCCAGGGGGTTCGAGACCATCTTTCAGCTTGTGTAGGCATCGGCACTCACATGTACATACAATACACTCTTGTTCACCTCCATGTGCTTCCTTGCCTAGTTTTATGCAGTGCTGGGGATCAAGGGGAGGGCCCATTCTGTGAATGCTGAGCAAGCCTCTGTTACCTGAGCTATGTTCCCAGCCCTCTGCATAATCTTCACATGACAACAAGGTACATTTGTCCTAGTCATGGCTACTATTGCTGTGATGAAACACCATGACCAAAGGCAACTTGGGGAGGAAAGGGTTTGTTTCATTCACGGTTTTATATGACAGTTCATCACCAAAAGCATCGAGGGGCAGGAGCTCAAGCAGGTGAGGATCCTGGAGGCAAGAGCTAATGCAGAGGCTGTGTGTGTGTGTGTGTGTGTGTGTGTGTGTGTGTGTAATTTACTAGATTGCTTTCCATTGTTTGCTCAGTCTTCTTCCTTTCCTTCTTCCTCCCTTTCTTTTCTTCCTTTCTCTCTCTCTGTCTCTCTCTCTTAGTTTTTCTGAGACAGGGTTTCTCTGTGTAGCCCTGGCTGTCCTGGAACTCACTCTGTAGACCAGGCTGGCCTCGAACTCAAAGAGATCCACCTGCCTCTGCCTCTTGAGTGCTGGAATTAAAGGCATGCGCCATCACCTGCTTTCTTATAGAACCCAGGACCACCTGCTTGGGGTGGCCCCACCCACAATGGACTGGGCCCTCCCACATCAATCACTAATTTAGAAAACACCCTGCAGGATTATCTGCAGCCTGCTCTTATGGAGGCATTTTTTTCAACTGAGGTTCCCACCTCTCAGATGACTCTATTTTGTGTCAAGCTGACATAAAACTAGCCAGCACAGACACCATAAGAAAAGAAAGATACAGCTGGGTGGTGGTGGTGCATGCCTTTAATCTCAGAACTTGGGAGGCAGACCTAGGCAGATCTCTATGAGTTCGAGGCCAGCCTGGGCTACAGAGTGAGTTCCAGGACAGGCGCAAAGCTACACAGAGAAACCCTATGTCGGAAAACAAAACAAAACAAACAAACAAACAAACAAACAAAAAGATAGATACATGCTTGCTATGGGAGCACATATATACTAAAATTGGAACGATACAGAGAAGATGAATATGGCCCTTGCACAAGGATGACATGCAAATTCGTGAGGTGTTCCATATTTTTTAGGGGTGGGGGCTATCTCTGACTATGCCTGCTCTTGGGACCTGTTTCCTTCTACTGGGTGACCTCATACAGCCTTGATATGAGGGCATGTGCCTAGTTTTATTATAACTTGACAGCCATGTTTGGTTGATAAACATGGGAGGCCTGCCCTTTACTGAAGGGAAAGGAGTGGGTCTGAAGGAGAGGGATGTGGTGGGGAGGGGCTGGGAGAAGAGGAAGGAGGGGAA